AAATTAAAGTGGATTTTACACATTAAATAGGAAAGAAACAAAAGAAAATATATTATTCAATAGTAAACCAGAATTTAGATAGAGATAGAATTGATGAGGATATCTCAGACGAAGAAAAACTATATAATAATATCAGTGAAAAAATAATTAAATTTAACAGACAATTGTTATGTGAAAACTACAAGAATCATTATATTGAATTTGATATCCAGATTTTGGATAAATTAATAAAAGATATAAGATTAATACATGTAAAGCATTTACACATTAAGGAAACAAAATTGATTATATCCAAATTTTTAAAGCATTTGATGTGTGGAAACCTTACAATCACACTTATGATTTCAGCAGATTTAACAATTACACACTGTATTATGTTCAAACAAATCAGGGCAACATCTTTTCTAACAAAAGAGTTAATCTGGTGTATATTTAAAATACCGTAGCAAGTATTGAAGGTAAAATACAAGAACGCGAGAAGCGAATTGTTTAAATCAAATATCAGTCCTGACGAGGAACAAAAGAACAAAATTAGGAAGACAATAACAAATATCACTTTTGGATTAATGGAAAAATCATATAACAGAAAGTTGGCGAATAACATGTTTGATAATGTAAGACATGCTTTATATTATTAAAGAACCCATGGAGACAGACTATATGTTTTGGATGATGAAGAATATGAGTGTTTTGATAAATGACAATTATTAAATGATGATGAGTGGAGTGTTGGTCTCTCTGATATGGGGAACTCATATTTCTAACATATGTATGGTAATATAACATTTGTTGAATTTGGTATCGATTACAAAATTGAAGATAATAAGACTTATTATAGCGAACGAGGTGACAAATATAGGGAAACTGAACAGATAAATAAGATTACCAAATATTATGTTATTTGCCTTATCGACTAAAGACAAACTAATGAACGGATTTAGGTATATTAAAGAATTATTATTACAAGGTCATAATTTTAACATATATAAAACTTTTTAAAACTGAAAGCAAATAATATTAAAATTTATGCGGTGAAAACCGATGCCTTTCATATTGTAAAGAAAGATGTAAGGATGGCAAAGAAATTAGATTTTCGTAATGATATTGGAGGATAGAGAATAGAAAATAATAAGATCTATGAATTGGAAAATAATTACAATTGGACATTTAATGAGTTATTAAAAAAAATCAATTTTTGAGAATGAAATCATATTAATTGAAGATGAGTAGGATGTTGAAAGCATTTATAATAAGATTATTTAAAAATATAAGAATTATGATTAGAGTAAACTTTGCTAGGAATGGTAAACATTTTATAGGCAAATATATAGACAATTTGGGATACAATACATTTTTTCTTGTGCCGCAAAATATGTTAAAACAAGAGATTGAATACGAAGCGGTGACAATAGATACATTTTTTAATATTCCAATTAATAAAGGGGATGACTTACCAAAATTTGGTTATTTAGATTTTCAATATATAATATTTGATGAGATTTATATATCCAATCCTTATATATTAAATAAAATAAAGTTGTTTATAAATAATAATCCTGACATCATAATTATATATACTAGTGATGTCAAGCAACTGCCACCGATTGAACCTTTTCACTAATACTTAAAATGTAGGCGAATACATTGACAAATATATTGATATTATAATATATGGTTAAAGATATATACGTGTATAGGTGGTAAGGATATAGAAAAAGAAGAAAGACACAGAAAGAAATTGAATGAACTTTATGATGATTTTTGAATTAAAAAGATGGCAGTTAAAGCATGGATAATTAAGCATTTCAAATTTACTAAGGATGTTATGAACAGCAAGAACAACATAATATATACAAATATAAAATGCAAGATAATATCAAATATGCAAATATTAAATAAGAGAAATCTTAATATATAGACTTTATAAAAAGGATTGTGAAGGAAATCTAAATGTTAATAGTAGGTGGAAAATTATCAAAAAAATGATATAAAATAATAATATAAGATATTAAGGATATAGAGAACATTAGACCATTTGATATTGAAATTATTGATAAACATTTTAGATATACCTACTGTGCTACCACTCATAGCAGATAGGGAACATTAATCAACGATAATATGACCATTCACGAATGAAACAAATATTATTTAATTTATAGGGAATGGTTATGGATTTCTATCACTCGGTATTGTTTTTTTTTTTTTTCTTTTTTCAATAATAAGGAATACGAAGAAAATATATTCAAGAATTTCATATATTCAAGAATTTGGTAATCAACTATTTTAAAAACATAATTGAAGGATATAAATAACAAGATAGAATAGCAAAAATAAAAATAGACAAAGAATAATATATTAATAAATATTAATACTTAAAATACGTTAAATCCTGTTACCAAAACTACGGAATTAAATCTAATCTAGATATAAAAGGAGGAAAGATAAATTCTTACTTCATTACGCAACGTTATGATAATGAATTATGCCATATAATTGAAAACTACACCGTCTTCTGTGTCTATTACAATTATAATATGTTATATTGTTTTTTTGAATAATTTTATTAATTTAATTAATATATTTAATATAAACAAATATTAAGAATATATATTATAATAGAAACGGGTATAATTTAAAATAACATATATTAAAAGATATAAAAACAAGAAAAGATACCTATAATTATAAATAATATTAATAAATTCCTTAATAAAAATATAGAAGAAAAAAAGAAATGAAAGACGAACATAATTTTATTATTCCGTATAATTTCTAAGAATTTTAAATAAATATATTATTTATTTCAATTAAAGAATAGAAACTCAACAATTTAGAATTGGTATAATATATATTAATATTTTTAACAAATATATATATATATATATATCGTGCCAATTATATCCAAAACATCGCCAGATATCTTAATAAGAATAATAGAGAATATTAATAAAATGGATAACAAATCGAAATGAATTTATATCGACGAGAAAAATATTTTTTTAATCAATAAATATAAAATTATAATAAAAGCAATTAAATTATATAATATCAAAAATCATCTAGCATTTGCGGAGTATAAAATTCAAACTTTTAAAATCTATTTTTTTTAAAAAAATAAAATAAATAAAAAAAATATAAAATACAATATATAATAAATATATTACATTTTTAAAATAATATTAATCTATATTAAATTATATATAAAATTTATAATTAAATTTATATAAAAAACAACAACTAAAATATATCCAAAATACACCATAAAAAATAATAAAAACGAAAATAAATAAATAACAAAAATATTTAAAATAAAAAATTATTAATATATTAAGTTAATCTTATTTTGATTTAGCAAAAACAACTAATCCCTATTTAATATACAAATTATTAAACAACTCAAATTATATTTAAAATTTAACCACCTCATACTATTAACAACATAATAAATTCATTAATTTAATATTCAATTATTTTTATTAATTGTTTTTGTTTTAAAATATAATTATAAAATATAATATTATATATATATTTTTTTTTCTCCATGTTTATTTATATTTAAACAATATTTAATCGTTTTTTTTTCTCATCAAACCTTTAATTTTTAATATATATTATATATTTTAAATATAATTAATTAATTATTTTAATTTATATAATTTTATATTTTAAAATAATAATAAGTAAATATATTTTCTTATTAATAAAATATGTGTTTTCCTTTCTTTAATATAATAAAATTAAATTATTAATTACCATTATTATTAATAAATAATATCCTATAAATCCCAATTATAAATTTTATAATTTATTATGTATTATAAACTAATAAATTAACCATAATAATTATAACATTTTATATTTTTTTTTTCATTTTTTTTTTTAAAATATTTTTAAATTTTTAAAAATTTCATTTTTTTTAAAAAAATAAATATTTTAAACATTTAGAATTTAACAATTTAGAATTTAAAATTTAGGTAATAATTAAAATAATCCCCATTAATTAATATATTTAAAATATTAATCAAACAAATCAAAAATAAACAAATCCCAAATAAACCCAAAACCCGTCCACTTTAATATCTCAATAAATCCAACACTCACGCCCGATCAACCCTAAATTACCACCAAATCAAAACCAATAAACAACTCTCGTCCGAGTAAAACCAATAATATTAACGATATAACCGACTATCCCGAATATCAAATCATACCCAAATATGCAGCCGTAACAAAAAACCGGTAATGTTAAAAATACTAAGAATTTAACCGCCCAGCTAACCAACCAACCATTCAACCAATCTCCGAGCCGGGGTTAAGCCCTAAGCCGGGCTTAGTAAAAAATAACACCGATTCCATCCATAGATATAAACAAAAAATATGATATAAACAATTATCACCATACGGGCATTACCTTATTACAGCCAAGATAATTCACAAACATTCTTGAAGAAATAACATTGTGCAGCACGCAAAATAGACTGTTTTATTGAATTGCAGATGACGATGAGAATAATATTTCTATGACAAGTGATGAATTGATTTGTTGTGGAAGAGCTGCAAGAGCTGTTCCTGGCCGCAACGCCCGGTACTGGCAATCTTTCTGAGGCCTTTAATCAAGACCCAATCCGCCAGCCAGCCTCTTGGTCCATCATGATGGGACGGTTTGCGACATGCAGCGAAAAAGGGCAGGCCTCTCGTCCCATGAGCGGTGGCTTGCACTGGAAATGGCGACAAATCACATTTGATCTGCAAATTTCACGCACAATCGTCGCTTCCACTGCAAGCCCGTCTTCTTCCAAAGCGCCGGCGAATTTTGTTTGGCAACGCCTTCAGTCATGCAAGGAGGTGCAATCGCGGCAACTAATTTCGTGCACTGAACTCGTGGCTACAGTGCGTAGTTGCATTCCGGGGTTCTGCCTGCAAGCCGTGGCGCATGGAGGTTTGATGAAAGAATTCACCTTAAGACAAGCCCGTACCCATGGAGATGGTGAATGCCTTCAAATACGAGTGAGCTTCTGCCGCAAGGCTAGTAGGTCCTAGGTGGGCGCTTTGTGTCTGGCACACATGCAATGCTGCACACATAAAGTTGCACGTCGCAGGCAAGCCTTTTTGAAATTGGCTCGGAGGCCCCTGCCTTCTGCGCTGAGCGATTCTCAGGGTCCATACGCACAGCATCCTCCAGAGACCTCTTTCGCGCGAGTGTGGAGTTGGTATGTGCCTCTCTGACTCTCAGCCTCACCGCGCTTTCAAAGTCTCCCATTTCTGCTTGACACCTTGAGGTGTGTGACATGCGACGGAGGCTCGAGTTGTCGAAGCAACTCTTGAGGCGCCAACTCCCCCAGCATCACCAGCGCACACGGGTCCTAGCTGCGCATGACTCAGACGAAATGACTGAAGCCTCGATGGCCTCTGCATTGATTTGCAGCAGCCTGCGGTTGAAAGCGACAGCTTGCTAAAACATGTTGTGACAGGATGTGTTCTTGTTGGTCGCTGGGAAGCAAAACCACTGAGCTAGAGGTTGTTGCTAACTTGGTGGATGACAAGAAAGCTGCTTTAGACTGACCGGCCTTGCTAGTTCGCCAAGCCAAAATCGTTTCTTCCCGGTGGTGGCTCTAACACCTCTCTGCTTGCCGTGCAGCTCTTTCAAGCGTTGGAGATACCTCGCTGTGGCCTACGTGCGCTTTTTGAGGCACAAAAAAGGTTTAGTTTGCCGAACTAAATCGTTTTTTCCCGTTGGTGGCTTTATTGCCGCGCTCCACGCCTTTATGCGCCAGCAAGGGTTGTGGGAAGCAAAACCACTGAGCTAGAGGTTGTTGATAAATTGGTGGCTGACAAGAAAGAGACTGGCCTTGGGCAAAAAGCGCAAAACGATCTAGCTCGCCAAACTAAATCGTTTTTCCCGGTGGTGGCTCTAACACCTCTCTGCTTGCCGTGCAGCTCTTTTAAGCGTTAGAGATACCTCGCTGTGGCCCTACGCGCGTTTGTTGAAGCAAGAAGCAAGCACAAAAAAAGATTTAGTTCGCTGAACTAAATCGTTTTCCCGGTGGTGGGTCTAGCGTTTCTGGAGATACCTCGCTGTGGCCCTGCAACATGCTTACGCGAGTGCTTACGCAAGCTTACGCGCAAAAGGAAAAACCTTATGCGGACCGTCCGATATTGGCGCCCCCTTACTAAACTGGTCTTGGGAGGCTTTGCCCTCCGCTCATGTGGCGTCGTAACCAAGGCTGCGCGGGAGGAGTGTTCATAGGAGCCTCCGTTGTACATGGGGCGCAACAGACCCACCTATCCGCAAGCTTGGCTTGTCATTGTTCATTGTTCTCTTCGCTTGTCCATTTCATACTGTTGTCTGTTTGAGGCCCAGGCCGTTTGAACTGCTCGGCCGCTCGGAGAGTGTCTCCTAGAACGGAGAGAATAAATGCTGTCAGACAAGACCCAAGATTTCGGCCCAGCTCGCGGTGGACGACGCCCAGGTTGAAGAGCGCGCCAATGAACCTTCAAAGAAACGAAAGCCTGCCAAGGGTGAACAAAAAGATATGTTCTTCACGTGCTTCGTGCTTTGTTCCCTGTTCACATCTTGTTCTTCTCATTGGCGTAATGCCTCGGATTTTGCTGCAGCGCCGCCGTAAACGACTGCACGGCTTGCTTCAGCTGCCTCAGCGCATGAAAATTCGGAAAGAAACGGGCTTAAACAACAGTCGTTTTGCGCGGGCGCTGGTCCCAGTTGGTCCAGAGAACGGTGGTTCAAAACAGAAAACAATGGCGTGACGCAAGCCCCGCTAGGTTTGCACCTGTGGTGATGTTGAAAGTCAAACACAGATGTTGCGACGCTGAACCCCCGCTAGGTTTGCACCTGTGGTCACGTTGAGAGTCAAACACAGATGCTGCGACGCTGGAACCCCAGAAAGAAAAAGCGCGTCGCCAACCGTGCCCTTTGTTCACACAAGCATGCTTTTCACGCGCGCAAAGACCGGTATTTTCTGGGCCAAAGTGCTTTTAATGCATGCAAGGAAACACCCTCCCTTTTCACAAGCGTGTTTCGTGCAGATGCGCTCTCTCTGTCTCTCTCTCTCTCTCTCTCTCTCTCTCTCTCTCTCTCTCTCTCTCTCTCTCTCTCTCTCTCCAACTCTCTCTCTCTCTCTCTCTCTCTCTCTCTCTCGCTCTCTCTCTCTCTCTGTGCGAAACCCTTTTGTATCAAAGGCACGTTTCTGCGTCTGCGCCCCGTGGCGGTGCGGGTCAAAATTCCGAAAGAGTGAAGATGTCTCTGGGCCCGCTGCTTCTGCTGCTGTAGGACCACCCCCTGGCGACATCCGCGGAAAAGCGCACACTTGTCTCCGAAGAAAACACATTGCGGGAAAGAAAGCCTAAGAGAGAGAACAAAGAAGAAAAACACACGCAAAAACAAGGAGAAAGAAGAAGAGCAAGCAGAAACACCCACAAGCGAAAGCTAAGGCACAAAGAGACAAGTAGATAAGGTCAAAAAGAATCAAGACGAGCGCAAAGGGGGGAAAGGAAAGGGAGCAATCAGAGACAAAGAAAAGGAAAGGCAAACTGACCAGCAAAAACGCAACACAAAATGCGAAGAAACAAACAAATGGGAGCAGACGACGGCAAGCCGTACGTAACATCCGCCGACATTGTCCGACGCCTACGAGAGGATAGAGGATAACCCGCCCCCTCCCACGCATCAAATACGGGGGCGGGGGGTGCGAAGGAAGAGGTTAAAGCAAAAGAGTCATAACGCGTTGCGCGCAAAAAGAGGCATTATTTCCATTCCTCCAGCCTTTTCTGGATGAAGTCTAGCTGATATTCGCTTTGACGATTGAGAGCTAATTCGTGGCACGGCGGACTGCGTCACCGGCATTGCCAGCGTCACCAGCATTACCAGCAATGAAGTCTAGCTTTGCTCTTTGAGAGCGAATACTGCTAATTGCCGAAGATCACGAAGCTGGACAGCTGGAAGATGGCACTCACCATGAACGTCACCAGCGCTTTGGCAGATCCTGATATCGAAGTATGGATGTCATGGGTGGCATGTGCTTTTGTGGTGAATCCTGACCTTGAATTTCTAGCCGATTCGGGAGGCGAACGATTTGCAATGATGGATATTAAGCTGGCCCTTTCGGCACAAGTCCGAAGGATGCGATGCTGGCGAAACCGCTGATTTCGAGAAATGCATGCAGGGTCTGAAGGCAGCTCACGCATGCGATCAAGGTGTTGATCGTCACGCAGAAGGCCACGATGCGGATCCAAAAACGCATGCTGAGGAAGAGGAGGTACAGGTCTTCAAGGATTATTTCCAAACATGTGTTTGGCATGAATGCAACTGCGGTGCGTCATGCTGTTGTTGCAACTGCGGTGCAACAGGAATGCAACTGCGGTGCATTCGAGGCCTTGAGGTCCGCACGCGGGGAGTCCTTGATAGCTTGCTGTGTGCATCCAGCACACAGCATGCAAGGCCTGTCTAAGCCAAGGTCGCCGGGGACACGGCCAGACGACTGAACATGACGCTCGATGCATCTGCGGTGCAAGGAACAAGCATGCAGTCGGCATGGATGCAACTGCGGTGCAACATGCCATCGGTGCAACTGCGGTGCCACCCGATGCGACTGCGGCGCATGCCAAGGCGTCAAGGCCCGCGCGTGGCAAGTCGACGACAGCCGTGCTGGGTACCTCCAGCACCAAGCATACGTCAGGAGTCGAGGCTAGGGGCTTCGTGCATGCAGCCTTCGTGAACCGCAACCGCGGCCCGCCAAAAATAATTGTGTGCCAGTGCAGCCGCACTTGCTCCGCCAACTTTGCCTTCGTGTTCCAGTGAGCGTACGGCCCAAGCTCCGGTTGCAGCAGCCGCTTTTTTTCCTCTGCAACAGGCTTGCGCCCTATTTTCACATGAGCCCACTCGCATTTGCATACCATCCGCTAAGGTGCCCGCGCCAGACCTGCTTTTGGTTCCAAGCTGGCGGCAACACACGTGCATTCGGGACTTTTGCTACTCATTAGCCGCGTTCCCACCTGCTGCATGTTTCGCTTCGTTGCACCGCAGATGTATCGAGCCTTAAAAGTGAAGGGTGTACAACGTGGCTGCAGCAAGGCAAGGCCCTTGGGACCGGCCCACATAGGGAGACCGGCGCGAAGCGACTCACGCTAGGCTGGATGCACTGTCGTCATGCGTGTCTGGCACAGCACCCAGGCCGGGCACGTACCAGCGCAAGTCTGAGTGCACTCACCATTCAGTGGCCTGAAAAGCGATGCGGTCGCTGAATGTCATGAATGCCCATAAAGATGCTGAGGCTGCCGGCGTCAGGAAATTAGTGCTACCCCACACAATAGCCACGGGGGGAGGTGCGGAGTCTGACACGCATGGATGCAAGCGCCAGGCCACGGCTTGCAAAACATGCCGATCCATGACATCCAGGTGAGGCAACAAGCACAAAGTGAATGCAGTAGCCGAAGGACGCGGAGGCAGGCACCCATGGCGCCTGCTTTAAAAAAAACGAGAGAGGGATCGAACCCTCTAACCCGGTGCCTCGAAATGGCTTGAAGCAAAAGCGGCAACGCGGTTGAAGATTCGAACAGGATTAAAACACGGGGGAACAAAAGACCCCAAGCGAACAGCATGAAGAGGGAAGCCCGACCGACCCAAAGACGCTCCGCTCTGTTTTCTACAGGCGTTGCTCAGAAGTTCAGGCTCAGGGGTGCAGGAGGAGTGACAACGCGTGTCCACTCCCAATCCCTGCACCCATGCGGAGTCTGCACAGATGCCGCTGGGGTCACCAATGCGTGTTCGACCTTTACACAAGATGTACTACCTTTGGGGTGTAAGACAAACAGGAAGCATGCTGGCACACCAAGAAGCAATGCGTGCAACGGGCTTGATAGGTCCTGTTGGATGCAATGCGTGCATCCTACGGTAAAGCAGCACCACGCGTGTGCTGTTGTCTGTAGATTGAGGCGTCCGCGCAACGAATTTGTTTAATTCGTCAGAGCGAAAATCAGCTAGACTTCATGGCTGGAAAATTACTGGCGACGCTGCAAGTCCGTAGATTCAGCCGCCCGCGCGGCGAATTCCTAGACTTCATTGCTGGTAAGGCTGGCGAGGCCGGTGATGCAGTCTGAAGATCGAGGCGACGGTTGCCCACGCGGCGAATTCGTGGCGCGGACAGCCAATCTCGGACTGCATCGCCGGCATTGCCAGCATCACCAGCAATGAAGTTTAGCTGATATTCGCTCAGACGAACTAGCTAATTTGTCGCGCGGACGGCTGTTGCCTTGATGTGCAGACTGCATCACCGGCATCGCCAGCATTACCAGCAACGTAGTCTGGCTAATTCGAGCGTCGCCAGCATTACCAGCAATGAAGTCTAGCTGATATTCGCACCGACGAGTTAGTTAATTTGTCGCTCAGACGGCCGTCGCCTCGATCTGCAGACTGCATCACCGGCATCGCCAGCGCCCGGCGTCGCCTCGATCTGCAGAAAGCATCACCGGCATCGCCAAGAATCGCAAGAAGAAGGGCTACCTGGTTTGTCACAAGGAAGCCAAGCGCGGGAAAAAGCAGGAGCGCGGCCTGGGCGAGTATAGGCAACGATAAAGCGTTTGCAAGTCGTCACAAGGAAAAGCACTGCGTGCCCGCATCTACTACATCAGCAAAAGAGCCTGGCTGAGGAAAGGCTGCTGGCGCGTGTTCGTTACATGGGCAGCTATGGTGCATCATCACGCCTCTGAGAGCCAGCAACTCACCTCTTCGCCAAGCGGAATGGAGAAACAACTTGCGAACGTGTCTGCATGAGCAGCACATTGAGTACATACGCCAAGGCGCGCTGCTTGCTATCTGCTTTGAGGCACCCCAGCCCCGATGTTCTCATGCCGGGCAGCATCTTGCAACAAATCCGATGCTCGTCGCGATTCCATTTCAGCTAGCACTTGCTCCTCGCGATGCTGGCGGCAGCCTTCTTTGCAACACAGTATCTACAGCACACAGAGCGTCGCAACAACGAAAAGCCTGGCCCCGCTTCCAAGGCGGCAAGGCGGCACAGCCCCTTGCAGAACCTGCTGGAACTCTCCCACACATGTCTTTTGCATCAGCGCTCCCCGGCATTGGAGTTTTCGAATGCTCTCCGTCTGACGCAGCGGATAGCAAAGTGTAGTTAGAAGCCACAGCTTGCTCCAGTTGCTCTGGGTGCGTGAGCTTGTTTGCCAGGATTCAGCACGCTTCTTGCGATCCCATCACCTTGAAAAACATGCCAGCCATACTGCTACAATGCCGAGACGAAGCGGGTCTGGAGAAGATCACATAGTCGTCAAAATAATTCGTCCAGAAACCGACTTGAACCTTGGGCAGAGCAGCAAGTCACGTTTTGCTTGGCGGGCTAAGGGGTTGCTTACGTTAAAAGCTTGCGCTTCTGAGCATGGCACAGTTGGTGGTGATCCTGTTGGAAGCAACAAAGACTTCAAAGCGAGCTTGAAGCTTGACTCCCATCACTTTCAAACTTCGGGCCCTCTCGGAGGCGCGTGCTTTTACACGTGTGTGGGAGACAATTGTAGTGGGTGCTGAAGTAGGCCAAGGCCAGCTGCTTGAAGCAATCCTTGACAAAGTTGGCGGATATGTCCTTGAGTTTTGTCCAAGTGCGCCTTTTGTTGAGACACCGCCTCCATCGAGCCCTGGCGCAAGATGGAGCTAGTGACAGCCCTGACGAGCTTGCTCAGCTACATGATGCTACATGCACACTTCAACGCTCCGTGCGGGTTCCAGGACACGTTTGGGCAAAGCCTGTTCTCCGGCTGCTGGGTTGCTGGCAAATGGGCCCCTAGAATCTCGGGGCAATGCGCAACACTAAATTTGAACGCATCCCAACACTGAGCCTCAAACTCGCGGACCTTTCCAGGTGCATTTGCAGCCACGTGCTTCTGTCTATGTACGCCTGCACCTACCTTCCATAAGGCTGTGGCCGTATATCGCTTTCTTAGGTTCTCAGCCTTGGCACAGAGAAAGCCAAGCGCTTAAGCCTCTTGGGGTAGCAAACATGGAACATGTATTGCATTCCCCTCCCTCCCGCTGGGCATACATTATGAAAGGCGTCCCCCGCAAATAGTGCGGTTGCTGATCGACTTGAAATCAACCGAGTTGTCAACATCCGCCGTTGCCCTGTCAGCCAGAACAACTGGCGATGTCAGCCAGCCGCTTACTCAAGCCGCTCTGACCAGGAAAAAGTGCAGTCACCGCATGCCAAGCTGTTCACAACCCAGCGTGCATGGTGACGCTAGCATCTGCCCTGCCAGGTACAACCCCACTCTGAAGGGCGGGTGATGAGGCCTTCGGCCCAGCGGGTTCGCTTTTACCGGGGTTGCCTGAATCACTGAAGGGGGGGTCAATGTGCCTCCTGCTCCAGGCGCACTAGTGCCCTGGAAGCAGTGCAACTTTCAGCAATCCCGGTAAAAAGAACTGCGGCCGCTTTGGACGAGCTTTGTTCTTTTGAGGTTTCATGTTTGGGTTCAAGCTAGGAGCAGTGCGACATGCCTTAACGCTTAGGGTTTCTTTTCCCTTGTGTTTAGGGCATGTGGTGAATCGAACTATGCGTTGAGGAAGGCAAGCTATGGCAAAATGCTGAAAGTCACTCAAGGCTAGATGAGGATAGTCAACTGAAGGTTGGTTCGTTAAGGTTTGGATCAGCTGAGGTTTCAAGTTACTCAATGTTTAACAGGGTTAGTCAGTATTCTTGCTTTGGTTCTGTATATTGTCATTTTCTCTTTGTTGTTTTCACGTTTTGTCTCTAGCTTTCGCTTCTTTGCTCCAACGCTCTCTCTCTCTCTCTCTCTTGTCAAAGCGCAAGTGACCAGAGCTTGCGGCTACCCTACACGAAATTGGTCACAGACCCCCGCTATAGTCACTTGAGTCGTCACAACCAGCGCCCGCTGCTTGGTCAACGCTCAACGTTGTCCAAGGATGGTTGTCACCACCAGCATCACCGCTTCTTATCATGGTGATATCAAGACAATAGCCTTCCCGACAAATGGCGCGGCCTTTTTGCACAGCACGTTGCGAAAAAGGCTATTTGCGATTGACGGATTAATGGCGCGGAATCCTCTGCTCAGGTTGCGGTGCACGAGGGCACAAGGTGGCACAAGGTCCAGGTGGCATCACCAGCACCTTGCAAAATCCAGCTGGCCGGCTTGGTAAACGGTGCGGATTCTTTGCCTGTGCGCTGTAGGGTGATGGCACTGGGCAAAGGAGACACCAGCCTCTGGAAAAAGGAGAGAAAAACACAACGAAGACAGAGAGAAGAGGAAACCAAACGAGAGAACAAAAAAGGGAGGAGAAGGAAGAGAAAACCATAATAATACAATGAACATCACGGAAGGAGCGAAAACCAAATCAATGACAGAAAGGAAGAGAAAAGCAAAAGAGCCCGCACAACATCACAACATCAAAGCGACTGGACCCGACCCCGACACTCCACCAGCCTGCTGGTACGAGTACCTCGAAAGATGCAAGGTCGGGGCAATCGCGGAGACTCTAAGGGCATTCAGCGTTTTTTCTGCCTCCGCTTTGCTGAGGTTCGCGTTGCTTCCTCGCCTTTTTCGGCCAACTGAGGAAACATCGCCTCGCCAACTTGCCAACCTGCATGCTGTGCACAGGTTGCACGCGCACTGCGTGCACGTGCGCGCCAAGACTTTGGAAGACTTCAGCAAGCCAATCAGTCGCGGCCGCTAGGAGCATGGAAGCAATTCACAGAAACCATCTGTCTAAAGTATTCGCTTAGAGCCAAGTCACATGTTCTGTGCTGCGTGACTGGCCCCAAGAACAAAGCCAGTGATTCAATGGCCTCAGCCGGTCCGTCGAGCAAGCCACACACAAGGCAGGTCCGAGGCTCTGGCTGTGTGGCCCCTCCGCCTGAGTTCCAATTGCCTTCAAGCGCCTTCAGCATCCTCCCTTCCCTCCCCTTCCCTCCCCTTCCCTCCCCTTCTCTCTCCTTCTCTCTCCTTCTCTCTCCTTCCCCACTCACAAAGTCTCTGAGATCCTGTCCTTCAAATGTGCACGGAGAGCTTTGCGAAAGGGGCCACACGCATCTGGAGGCAAGCCCAGCTTCCTGTCCACGCAGCAGACTAGAACAGCTAGACGAGTTACCAACTTCCCGATCTATTCCAGGCCAAGACACATGTTCATCGCGTCGAAAAGGCAAACCACATCAGCATCAGCGTCTTCTCGCAATAGATCCAAGCAGTTGCCGACTAGACTCGACCCCATCCGACTCCTCTGACTCGATCTCTCGTTTGTAACATCGACTCCAAGCTGCGCAGCATGACCCAAGAAATTGTGGTACTCATCCAAGCTAGCCGCATCCCAATGCCTCTCTCCCTTCAAGGCTTGAAAGGATGGGGCAGAGAAGCTGATGACTAAGCGCCGAAGCCAAAGGAGGACATTCTCTTTGTTGGATTGCAAGGCTTGCAAAGGTGCGATATTGTCCTTGGACGTCTCATTCAAGGAGAGCGCCTCTTTGATGGCACAATTGCCCACATAGATGTCTGCATCATCTTGGAAGTTCCGAAACGCTTTCATCATGCACTCCACCCCTTCTTCCGACGGATCAAAGCCATAGCGCGGGATGATCTCGCGCTGGCTCTTGCGAACAAGGTGCTTGAAGGCGGTGTAGGCAGAAGCCCGGGAAGCCCGGTTGCTGTCGCTCGCATCGAGCTTCCGGGCGATCTCGTGGAGCTTCTTTTGGAACTTCGGCGTCGTGTAGGCCGCCAGCAACTCCGTCTGCAGCGCCAACGCCCTAGCCTTCGACAGCGAGGTCGAGGTGGTCGAGGTGGTCGAGGTCAACGTTGATGTCGAGGTCGACGTCGGCCCGAGTTTCACGACTTTGGCCATGGCGTGTGAGAAAAGCCCTAAGCCCGATGGCAGCGGTCAATGTGGTGTAATACTGTAGCATGCAAGCCATGGACTGCAAATGAAGCAGCCAACTGAATCAACGTGCCTTTGTGCAGTATGGGGCACTGGGC